TCGAGGCTTGTATCGTTTTGGGACAGTGACGTCATCAATGACAAACGAAACCTCGCTGCCTGTCGATACCACGTGACTGCTTCAGGAAGCGATTCAGTTCGTTTGAACCATGGTTGAACCACAACGCTCATAATACCCATGGAGGTATAATAAGAACGATATTACCCCTCCTGTACCCGGGTCCGCTGGTGACACGATGGAATTAAAAGAGCTCAGAACCTCACTTATATAGAGGTCGGAACATGTCATAAGTATAAATAGATACAAGCATAAATAAATGTAGGAATAAAAACATGACTGAATAAATACAGGAATAAATATGTTACAGTGTTTTCAAGGAGATTCACTGGTGTGCTGTGGCTCAGCTGGAAAGCAGTTGACTCACGACCGCAGGGTCCCTGGTTCAACGACTCGTCAATACGTATTTTTTGTTGTTTATAAAAGCTACCGGTAAATGAGATAATGTAGTTAATACATGTATTCTTTTATATGGTTTGGCCTTTCTCAGGCTACAACATGGTTAAGTTTATGAATATTAGTAAGGAATACAAATCCCTCTTTGCAATGTTTACCAGCCTCCTTAGGCTTTTCAATCACAATAAACTGGAATAAAAACAATATTGTTAACATGAAAATATGATTTTATGTTCGTTGTTTAGTTATTCTAAGGCTTTACTCATTGGGAACTCGGTATGAGATAGAGCACACTGTTGAGATGTCCAATCTCTGCCTGTTTTACACACTTTGACCAACAGGGGGTTTGTGTTCAAATGAAGCCCATGATGAAGCCTCATGAGATGAACCCTTTTGCGAACCAATTGGCTGGAAAGCTTCAAAGCTTCATAAGGCTTCATCTCGCCATGACTGTTAGTCTCTCTCTGTGTGTGTGTGTGTGTGTGTGTGTGTGTGTGTGTGTGTGTGTGTGTGTGTGTGTGTGTGTGTGTGTGTGTGTGTGTGTGTGTCTGTCTGTCTGTCTGTCCGGCTGAGCCTGGCTGACCTACTTTTGGATTCCCCCCTCTACACCTCTCCAGCTGCTGCTCATTTCACTGATTGCCACTAGGCCCACTACCCACCTGCACCTGTATAAAACCCCGGTCATCACCTCCAGTCTTCGCCAGTTCGTCAGATATCCACGTGTGGAAGAAGTATGTAGAATCCTGTTTGTGTCCTCCCTGAATCACCACGAAACTTTATTCAGATACTTTCACATATGTTGCCCAAACACTGCACTGAATGCAATTTGGATATTGCACTTGTCCATGGACCATGTTACTATTTCGAAAAAAAAATGTTTATAAATTGTACATGAGTTGGCGTGGTTCTCATTGCAATGGTAGCATTTCCGAGCGCCTATGAAAGCAGCATTAGCTCCACCAAACTGTTGCAGAAGAAACGCCCCCCTCCTCCCTCTCTCTCTCTCTCTCTCCCTCCCTCTCTCTGCCTGTATTTCAACTGCAGCTTAGCCTCAGCTCTCACTCAGCTTTCTGCAAACACACAGCATTAACTCTGACATTAACTGACCCTAAACATGGCTGCTGCTAACCGGGTGATCGTTTATGGAGGAAGAGGAGCGCTGGGCTCCAAGTGTGTGCTGCATTTTAAATCCAAAGGATGGGTGAGTAATAGCACGAATATCCTAGCTTAGCTGCTAACACACTGCAAAAATGATAAGCTAAGTGTGTTTCTATGTTTTTTATGAATGCATAGTGGGTTACTTCCATCGATATGGTTGCAAACGAGGAGGCAAACGACAACGTGATTGTGAAGTCGAGTGAATCTTTCAACGAGCAGGCAGGACAGGTGAGTTTTATAATGATATAACAATATTTGTTTTTGTTTAATGTTAAACTGATGGGCTAAGATGTAGTAGTAGACATGTTACAACCTGCAGCTAAAGTCTAATGGTTGTTATGAATGTTGTAGCTTATAAATATTTTTTTAATTGCTTTTTTCTGCATTCAGTTTCACTGTGTGTGCCAATGCTGCGTTCAGATCAAACTGAAAAAACAAGTAGGAAATGTGAATGTTGTTATAATTTTGTTGTGTTTCTCACCGACTTCGATAGCTTTGCTGCTCTGTTTAATGCTACTGAAGCATTAATCCAAGCATTTCGTTTTAAGATATACTTTTTAATTGAATACAACTTGAACTATTTAATGTATTTGCAGCGGTTTGACAGGAGTAGTCCATACATCTTTTTTCTATGCTTTTTATCTGGTTAATGCTGTTCTGATACTGTTCACGCCAACACAAATATAAAATACAAAAAATGATTAACACATTGTATTGATACATTATGAAGTGAATAATATAGTGGCAAGTTTTACTTCTTTTCTTTTTAAATAATGTCTATCATTTATATCTCTCTTAAAACAAGGACAACAGAGAGAAAAACTATTTCAGTCAAAATGAAGGATCGGTCACATTGACATCCAGCACAATTGTTTCCTCTATACTTTAAAGTTTCCCTTAATTACTGATTAGTTCTGTCTAGGTCAGATCCTTGTACATTATTGCAGGAATAATTTAGCCAGGTTACATGAATTTTTTTAATTAGTTTGCATATCTCATGTAGTTTTCTTTGCCACAAGACCTTTTTTTAATGGATTGTATTCCATTTATTTATTAATGTGTTGCTGATTTTGTTTGTTGTTCTGAATACAGTGTACAATGTGTATTAAATATTTCCAGCTGGTGTATGAGCTGAGAGGTACTGGTTGTCTTTTAAATGCCATTCACTCCTTGCTCCATAAATAAGCAATTCTTGGTTATCTCTCGTTTTGTCCAATAGGTGACGGCAGATGTGGCGCAGTTGCTAGGGGAACTGAAAGTGGACGCCATCTTGTGTGTGGCCGGAGGCTGGGCGGGAGGAAGCTGTAGCTCCAAAGGTCAGAGTTTAACCTTTTTGTTTGCTGTAAAATTAATCATCAGCCAAGTTTGTAATAACTTTACAAATGTAATACATGCATATCAACGCTAGAAACATATATGTAGAATACTTGATATATAGAAAAGTGAGACTACACTATAATAGACCAACCCACTAAAAAAATATATTACCAAAGGATACTATTTGCATCAGCCAATGAGATATAACGTGTTCATATGCGCCTTTTAGGTGCTGGTATTCAGATTGTGTTACTGATGGACAGAACCAGTAACAGACTATACATCTTATTTTTTACTGACAGACATGAAAGTGTTATTGATCTTTTTAGGTAACTCTCATATTTCACAGCGTTTACCCAAAGTTGAACTAGATAAGATAATACATATGGAACTAGTGTGTTGGAAGAACTATAAGATGCCAGCTAATTAATATGAGGCTGTGCTTTTTAATGTTTGTTTCCCCACCTATCTTATAGATTTATACAAAAACACTGATCTGATGTGGAAACAGAGTGTGTGGACCTCCACTATCTCCAGCCACCTTGCCACTCTGCACCTCAAACCGAGTGGACTATTGACTTTGTCCGGGGCTAAAGCAGCCATGTCAGGCACTGGAGGTAACACACACACACACACACACACACACACACACACACACTCACATTAGTTGTTTACCTTTCTCATCATGATGACCTGGTTTGGCCACGGGTCACGTCAGGGTTTGCAGACAGACTTTGATGTATTGGAGACT